GGAGAGAGACGTTTAATATTCAACGAAGAAGTTTTAAAACCCGAAGAGCTTAAGCAGTAATCACATGGAAGAAGAGCTGCCTGCTCCGTTACGCCCTCATCCTCACCTTCTTATTACTTCTTCCTCACTAATTAGGGTTTGCTAATTATTTTCCCTTTCCACCTCTCTCATTTCCCTAAAGACCGCGTCACCGTGGTTCCACTTTCTCTTTCTCTATCCTTCCTTTTGATTTTGAATTCAGCCATTTGAAAGGGAGGAGAAGTGAAATTCCTTAATTGAGGTGAATTCTGTGGTTTCTTTTTTTCCTGAGAGAATATACAGATTGCGAAATGGAGGAGAGTCTGATTTTTCAGTGGAGTGTGTTTAGATCTCTGCTCGCTATTCTCCAATGGTGGTGTTTCAATGTTACTGTTATTATCATGAACAAATGGATCTTCCAGGTCTGTTCTCCCTGTTTTCCTACACATCTTCATGGTTAATTAGCTTGATTCTCTTTTTAAATGTAATTAGTCTGAATTTTGTTAACTCGGCTAGCTCAATTTCCCTGTTTTATTAAGTAATCTATCGATTTCGCTTGATGGGTAAGCTGAATTTTTCAGGAATGCTAATTTTCTATAGCTTAAATCTTGATGTCAATGCTCTATTTTATTTTTATTTTTTTCCCTTTTAGGTATGTATCGATATTTGCATCTGATTTTTTTTATAAAAAAAATTGTATTTCGGGTTTAATCAATCTAATTGTAATTATATATGTTATTAGTGAGGGATTGTATATTAAATTCCTCTATTTTTAGTTTGTTTGGTGCGTATTAATATGCATGTATCTACAAACATTCAAATTTTTTTTCTCCAGCTATTTCTTTAATTTAAATAATTGAATTCCATGTGCATAGTCACTAAGGTAGATAATTAAATCATTAAAATTCTTGTTGTAGATTGATACGCATGTTTGGCACATACAGTTCACCAACTGATGGAAAAAGGGATAAACCCTGTTGGAACTTTTTGTAAACAGACAAGCCACCTTATATGGTGGTGGGTATAATTGAGCTAGCCACTGTTTTATTAGCTTGTCTGTCCTCTTCATATTTTTTTCGAGCCTGTTTGTGATGGTGGGATATGGCTTCACTTTTTCATAATTAGATCAATACTCCAACCTATATGGGACATGAAAAAACAGATCTACTCTGTATGTATGTTCATTGCAGGGTTTGAAGTTTATGCTAATTGATTGAAAAACCTGATTGTGTTTTCCAAATCTCTGTGCAGGAAATTGTATTCATTTTTTTTCCCAATTTTTTCTGAAAAGAAATTGGATTTTTCGGGCTCTGGTTAACTTATGATTGTTTTTTTTTTGGACTGAGGGGATGGCTATCCTCTTTTTGAGCAACTATTTTATGTGAATTCAGTTTGAACAGTCAGTTGATGTGACTATTATTAAATCTGATATTGAAGTTATATTCAGTAATGTAGCAGAATCCTTCTGTTTTTGTATTTTATATGTGGAGCGTAGTAGAAAGTTTCAATGCTCCGCATAGACCTGAATATTACGGGAGCTCCTGGTAATTTATCTCTACTTCACATGTATTGATTCTAAAATCAGATGACCTTTCTGACAATCCTTCTCATGACAAGTCTTCTTTAAATTATTTATCTCCCTCTTATTAAAAGCCTACTTGTCATCCTTTCTGTTCCAGTTGGTTTGACAGTCATTGGCAGAAAAAATTTCCTCAGTGTTTAGCTCAAATGTTTATGTACTGGAACTGGAGTTGATGTTTATGGGTGTCATCAGAGGTCTTCTAATTTGAAATTGTTTCTTTTCACAGAAACTAGATTTCAAGTTTCCGCTATCAGTATCTTGCATCCATTTCATATGCTCATCCGTTGGAGCATATGTGGTAATCAAGGTTCTGAAGATCAAACCATTGATAGTGGTTGAACCTGAAGATCGCTGGCGAAGGATTTTTCCCATGTCATTTGTGTTTTGCATCAACATAGTGCTGGGGAATGTGAGCTTACGATTCATTCCTGTTTCATTTATGCAAACAATAAAGTCATTTACTCCTGCAACCACAGGTCAGGCCCAGAAATCATCAATATAAATAAGCTATTTTTTTATGTTTCCTGATCCTCAGTATTTTTTTGTTGTCATGCAATAATTTTGTCTTATCTTCGATGGCTGGACAGTTGTTTTACAGTGGCTAGTTTGGAGAAAATATTTTGACTGGCGAATTTGGGCTTCTTTGGTACCAATTGTTGGAGGAATCCTTCTAACATCAGTTACTGAGCTTAGTTTTAATATGTTCGGATTTTGTGCTGCCTTATTTGGATGTTTGGCCACTTCAACAAAGACTATTCTTGCAGAATCTCTGCTGCACGGATATAAATTTGACAGGTAGCATCTCTGTTCTTGTCACCCTTTCCTTTACTTGCTCTTAAAGTTTTCCGTTTCTTGTTTTATTGCATTCGTTTCTTATTTTATTGGAAATCCTCTGATTGGAACTCTTTCATCTGGCTTTAATAGTTACTTGAGAAGCTGCAAGATAAGCATCTACAGTTACTTTATATTGCTGACGACAGGATTTCCCTGTGTAATGTGTGATACATGTATCATTGAAATTTGAGTTTTAAAATCTGTATTATGGTATGTTTCCTGTTGTAGCATTCCTATATTTACAGCATAGCATACTACCAGTGAAATGCTTTGAAACATGGAAACTTCACCATGATGGTGTCTGACTTGAATGATCTCAAAAGAACATGCTGCTGATTCTATAAGTGAAACCAGTCTTGTATATGTTTACTTGGTGACTATTTTTCATGAGGCTTAGAGATGATGCCAATCTGTAGAAATTGCAGTGTTGCTAGTCTGGCACAACCTGTCCATTTCTTTAAGAGGAGATTGGATTGAAATAGATCAGCCATTTCTTTTCTTTCATGTTTTTGATTGAACTCCCAGTTAAAAACTTTCTGTTACCTCCACTTCCAATATTTGTAAGGGTTATGGGAATTATACTTGCCATGCCTCGTTTTAATTGTGAGCTCCCCTTTATGTACAATACTTTTGTTTGGAAGTGATACAAGTTAGGCTTGCATTTTACCTGCAATATATTGGATCCTGTGTTTATTACAGGTTAAATCACACAAGACTTGTATGCAAAACTTGCTATAGCATATATTCTTCTGGCATATATCATATTTGCAGATTTCAGGTGAGGAGCTCACCATGTGATTTTTTTTTTCTAATTGAATGCTTAAAGATTGTTGGAGGTTGATATAGGTCTTTCTCTCCTTATCATACCAAAAGAATTTGTGTTCATTGGTGGCTTGGCATCTCTACTCCACATTTTGACCAGTTTAAGACAATTGAAGATGGGCATCCTTTTAGATTGGTTCTGGAGCTTAATGCTCAACCACAAAACATTCCAGGATCTTGTTAATTCTCCTTTTCCTATGGTGTTTTGGTGGTGATAGTCACTTGTCTTTTGCCTGTCTTTTCTGTTTTAAGCGATTCCTAGCAAATAATGAAGCAAAATTGAAGCTTGTAAAATTGTTTCGGAAAACTGTTTAATGTGTGGGTTTGATTGCATGTGAAATTGTTTGCATGATTTATCTCTGCAAGATTCAGTCTGATCCTTTCTTATATATTTTTCCTGTACCTTAGCATAAACACCGTGTATTACATGGCACCTCTTGCAACCATGATCTTGGCATTACCAGCAATCTTGGTTGAAGGTAGCGGGGTTATAAATTGGTTTTACACCCACGAAGCTGTCTGGTCTTCCCTCATCATCATTTTAAGCTCTGGTCTGCTGGCCTTTTGTCTCAACTTCTCTATCTTTTACGTGATTCATTCCACAACTGCAGTAACATTTAACGTTGCTGGAAATCTTAAGGTGAGACCAAAATTTTTCATCCCTTAACCTAATATGACCTGTCTCAAGATTTGAACCTGAACACTGTTTAGTACCTTCAAATATTTTTACAACAGAATTGATCTTGCAATCACATTAAAACTCTTCATTTTCTATGTCTTCATCAATATCCAACACCTGGATTTTGCATGCATTACAAGTTTATTGACAGTTTCTTTCGCTTTCACGTGTACTTGAATTTATATTGCATCCTTTGCCACCAAAGAATATTTTGCGTGCTTTTCCATTGGGCTTGCAGTTTTGCTACAGGAAGCAACTATGGTATTGATACGCGTACACTCTGTCCGTCTTAATTGTGTACAGGTTGCATTTGCTGTTCTAATTTCCTGGATGATATTCCGGAACCCGATATCTGTCATGAATGCTGTTGGATGTGCCATTACACTTGTAGGGTGTACATTCTATGGGTATGTGAGGCACTTGCTATCCCAACAGCCTCCACCACCAGGAACTCCTCGAACACCCAAGACCCCGAGGAATCGGATGGAATTGCTACCCCTTGTAAATGACAAATTGGATGATAAGGTCTAATTGAGAGGTCACGGTATTGAGGCTCTGCGCAGTTGGCATAGGAGGGTTGAATTGAAGAGAAGAATGAGAACACTCCGTCGTGTGAGCCTCCATTAGATCACTCGAAAGTTTTACATATGTTATTATTTCCGCACAGAAATAGAAATCATTCAGTTTTTGGCCAGTGGTCTGATATTTATTTATATTTGATAAATCAGCCTTTATGTATCTTTCACCTGTTAATTGATGACTTCACGGTACTGACACTGCCCAATCTGCATAGCCTCATCATGCAAGAGCACAACAATGGCAAGCTCTGAAAAGTTTCACATTATTTCCACCTCCATCTCATGCTGTAACGAAACTAGTTGCCGAGGACGGAAATTCGTATCACCTGTAATACTTCTCACCTTGCAAATCAGGAAGCTACAATTGATTGCCATCAAGTTGCAAGCAATAACAGCTGGTGATTTGTGAGGAGTGCTTGAATTGCTTGTTTTGCCCTTCAAGATAGACGCCTTCCTGGCATCGACGAACTGAAACAATCTCGGGGGCTAAATAAAATGGAGCAACATCAAACGCTATCCACAATAAAATCACTTTCAGTAGTAGAAAGATTCTCATAGCATTACATTGAAAAGGGGGAAGAACCGGTCAGTACTAAAGGGATTACAGAGGACTGGACGCTAGTAGTAGTGCATTGAATCTAACCTAATTAGTGTTATTAACCTCTGAAATCAACCTAAGCAAGGAGCCAGAAGTCTTTCTGCCTTCTAGTGGTGATGAGGTACCCGCTCATGCCTTTGCTCTGCTTCCTTACACCGACAGTCAAGCACTCTGCATTGCTGATGCACTGTTGAACAAAATCTTCGCTGCTGCTTGTCCCACAGAGGCTGCAAAAAATTCTCACAAGCGGATGTTAAAAGTCAAGGATCAGACACATTCGGAGACCAAAGGGTGGAGAATATATTATTTTGAGATACGAAGGTTAGAGTGTTAGACCCACCAGCTGATAAGTGTGGAGGGCCTTTTCTGACCCAGGACGAGCACAGAAGCCTCTAGCTTCTTCACTTGGCTCAACACCGTGCCCAGCTTGGGTCCTTGAATCACCAGTGCTTCCACTTCCACCTGAAAATTGCCCCAGATGACATCTCTCTCTTTCCCAAATAAATAACTAAATGAAAAGACGAGAAAAGAAGGATAAAAAGTGCCAGAAAAATCTCCCACCACATCCATCTGTGCATTTCTGGAAAGTAAAAGTGACAGATGAAAAGACAAACCAAGCTAGTAAAAATTGGCCCCCCTACTCCCTCCAAGAAAGAGAAAGAGAGTGCAATACAAGGCTTACGAAGGGATATCATGTAGTTCAAAAGTAAATTAAACCAAGTGAAAAGGGACCGGAATTCCCTCTCACAATAAGCATTCAAAGGAAAGAGAGGAGTGGAGTTTACTAGGCAGGATCTATCGAACACAACTAGAAGATACTCTCTTACAACATGGGATCTATCACTCATGCACACGAGATGAGCCAAAATAGAAACAAAACTTCAAAAGAGGTCACTATTGTGATGCAGCAGAGAACTCAAAGATCAATTTTAGACCCAACAAATAGCTAAGAGGGGAGGGGGATTTCTTGAACATAAACAAAGCATACCTCAGGTCGGCTAGCCTTGCAAAGCGACCCAAGAGAACTGGCAAGATAAGGAGAGTAAGCATCAGATGTTCTTTCACCGCTGCCCATGTCGCTAGGAGGGATAATGTGAAGCAAAGTGAGCAAATCACCCTTGTTAGCCACATGAGTCAATGCCCACATCATTGCATGCTTAGAATGTGAAGTTTGATCTACCACCACCACCACTCTTTTTCTCATAACCAGCCCAGCATTGTCATTACCATACATGGAAGCCCCTTCCATTTGCTTCAAACTTCTCTCACAGTTATAGCCACCTTCAACAGTGCAATACTTGCTGTTGCTAGCACTCCTCCTCCAAGATGTTGACCTCCCACTCAGCTGCCGTAGGAAAGAACCTGAACTTGGCATCTTATTTACCCAAACCAAAGCGAGTTCTTACAAGGAGAAATCAACTTTGACAAATACAAGCACTGGCACAACAGAAGAAACCACCAGAGGAATAGTGATGCTAGTACAATAGCATAGGCTCTAGCTAGCAAAGGAAGAGGAGAGAGACAGCTATGGGAAAACTGGTTGGAGTGCTGCCGTTAGACCGTGAGATTGGTTTCAATACAAGTATATAAACTAGAAGGACAAAGAAATTACGTGACAGAAAAGAAAATGACGGGTGATATTGAAGCTGAGGCTAGAGAAGGCCTCGTGGGGCTGGTGATGATGCAAAATCATGAATATCTATCTATCTCTTCTGCAGGCAACAAGTTAAGAGTCACGGAACGCTGTAAATAAGAGAGAGGCTCTGGCCAGGGTTTTGATGATGAGAGAGGATTCCCTGTACCACCATTTTTTATGTTTCTGTATCATATTCTTTTGTACAATTTTTTTTTTCCAGATCTCGTGTTCATTGTCTTATATGATAGTATGAAACCATATCTTTATCTTATTTTAGGTATTTTTCATCCCACAAAGGGGCACATGATATGGGAGGTAGGGGTCCATTTTCATGGAGTGCATAGCTTTACTTGCTGTCTTCTGGTTCCTCCAAGTTGTACAGCCGCTCGGTTAGAAAGAGGGTGTTTTTTTTTATTTTTTGGTAAAAATTTAATTTTTATTTTAAATTATTTTTTTATATGTTTAGATTGTTTTATTGTGTTTATATTAAAAATAAATTTTAAAAAGTAAAATATATATATATATATTAATATATTTTTAAATAAAAAATATTTTAAAAAATAACATATATAAATTTCAACTTCATCCACACATGCACCTGTGAAACAACCTAAATCTAACCGGTACAAGTCTACACCTTTACGGTTAAAAAATATTTTTATAAAAGTGTACATTATTTTTTATGTTTTTTAATTATATATATATTATTTAATGTATTTTAACTAAAAAATTATTTTACAAAATAATACTGCAAGTGGTAATGTTGCTGTTTTTCAAATTTATAATAATGAGACTAAGCTACGCCCAGAAGATTTCTGCTGGCAGGTTCGAAGATTGTGGGAGAAAGATGTGATCTTGTTTTATTGTGGATTGCCATGTCAAGATCATTGATGATTGGGTTTCTGATCGACAGCGATAGACTCGTGGATTGATGTGCGTAAAATCAAAGCCATGATCATCAAAAAACAAAAACAAAAAAGCTTTGAGAAGCCCAGATAGATCTTTTTTCTAGAGTTTCTAACCTGGCTAGATAGTTTACCAACGCCTGGTCGTATAAACAAAATTTACTCAAAATAAAAATATTCGGGTGTTGCCGTTCTACGTGGTTTAAATTTTATAAGCATGAAGTGAAAAAATAATAATAATAATAGGTTTGTATTATATTTATTTTTTGAAATATTTTTTATTTAAAAATATTTAATAAATTCCATCAAATCTTTCTCAACTCAAATGAACATTTAGATTAAACAATAATGTCAATTCAAAATAATAAATTTTTTTTAAACTCAAGTTTTTATTTTCAATAATATAAAACTTAAAATATCTCAATATCACTCGTCTTATCAATAAAAAATACTTTGACATTTATTGCAAAATGGAAAAAGCCTAGGGATCAAGATTTAAAAACTCACACCTCATGTGTAGTAAAAGAAAGGAAAACAATGTTTTTTTTTTGTGTTTTAGTATATCCTTTAAGTTCCAATCTGGTTTAAATAACAAAATTAAATTTTATTTTTTAAAATTAAATATTAATTTAATACTGAAATATTTTTGACATTGCAAAAATCCAATAGCAAGTTAATCAAAACAAAACCAGTAGCCCCAGGTCGCATTAATATAATATGTAATAATGAAATAATTGATTTTTTTTTTCGGTTTGGTTTTTTCAATTATTTGTTTTTTAATTTTTTTTATTTAATTAGTTTTTTGGTTTTTTTACTCACCCCTAGAACAAGTGTTCTGTGCTTACCTCTGCCTTTCCTCTCGTTCCTCTCAGTTGAGACGTCAGAAAAGTCAGTCATTAAAGAATCCTGACCAGAAGACAGCGTATAATGATTTCCCTTCTTTTTATAAAAAGAAAATAAATAATAAAAAATACTGAGAATTAATCATCAGCAGTATTGAATAAACAAAAAAAAATAAATAGCAAAAAGCCAAAGAGATCGTACTTCCAAATTATTGCTCCCGCCCATCTCGCTGGTTCCTGCTTCTTTCTCTGAAATTACAACCACAGCCCTTTCTATCTATCTATCTTTTATCCGAACCCGATTACAGGACAGCTGTCCACTTTTTTCGACTTTCTTTTGTATACAATTAAGTATACCTTATATGTACACACACACACATGTGGACTTCACTGCGCTGAGCTGTTTTTTTAAAAAAAAACAATATTTACATGTTGTAAGTGTGTTTTTTAAAAACAAAATCAATACTTGATGTTATAATTCTAACTATTTAAGCACTGCCTGAAACAATTGTCCAGAAGAGAAAGTAACTAAAATTTTTATGAAATTACTTAGAGCAAAATAGTTTTTTTTTAAAAGGGGTTGAAGTGAAATAAAATAAAAAACAAATACCAATTTATATTTTTTAAATGAGAAGAGAGATCATAATAAAAAAAATACTAAGATTTATAGATGATAAAAAACTTCACCTTAACTAGCGGTATTGTCTTATTAAAAAAAATCTTACATACCTTCTAAAATATACGAGGGTTTCTTACATTATAGTTATTAAATTCGAACTTATTCAACGAGTCAACTTTAAATTTAGTGACTTGATTAATCAAGGTTTGCTAAAAAACTAGTAAATGCAACAACTCAATTGACTTGATGTTTCTTTTTTAAATTGGTTTTTTTCTATACTTTTTTTTATTTTTTTATTAGTTATTAATACTTTTTAAATCTCACTGTATAAGTATTAAAAAATATTTTATTTTTTCAAGGTAAAATTTAAAATCTATTAATATATATATTCTATATTTCTATGAAAAAATATTTTTTTAATGTGAAATTTGAAATTTTTTAGTATATATACTCTAAGTTTACAATGAAAAAATTTATGTTTTTTCAATGTGAAATAAAAAAACTTTTTTAGTTTAAATATTTTAACTTAAAAACATTACATGATATCTTTTCAATGTGAAATAAAGAATCTTTTAAAATATTCTTTTAAATTTTATTTTTTACAAAATATATATCCTATATTTATAAAGATTTTTTTATATAAAATATAAAATATTTAAATATGTTTTTAAAATTTTCAAGGTTATTCCAAGTAGATCCGGGTTAACCCATGAAATTTAAAACTTGATTTTTTAAGCACAATAAAAATTAATTATTCATCCTTAAAAGATAAACTATAGAATTAATAAAAAAGAACCAGTGTGAAAGGGCACTTAAACTTATTGTTATATATTTTTTATACAAATTAGGATTTGGCATTTCATTTAACTTTATTTCTACAAATGAAAACACGAAGCACTCCTCTTTACAAGAATTTAAAAAATTTGCAAACTAGAGCTTGGTCTAACGGTGGAAGGGGCTTGTCTCTTTTCACTGCACCTGGGTTCGAGTCCTAGCGTGAACGCCTGTCACCCCCGCGGTGCCTTACATGCCTACTGGGTTTGCAGGATATTCAGTGGGCCGTGGGGATTAGTCGTGGTGCACGCAAGCTGGCCCGGACACCCCACGTAAATCAGAAAAAAAAAAAAAAGAATTTAAAAAATCTAGTATAAAGAGTAATTACAGAATTTATTATACTAAAAATATAAAGAGACAATTATATCTCCAGTAAATTTCTAATGACTAAGAAGACTGGTGAAAAGATAAAACTAACCAACTGGTTTTTTCGGAAAAAATAAAATTATAATTACACTATTGTATTGTGAATAGTGAATTGAGTGCTGCGACATTAATCACCCTTCGGGGTGTGTGTGTGTATTAATTGCAAAATTAAATTTGAGATGAGGTCAATGTAGAATCCTTTACAAGAGGCTAATAAACCATACCATACCATTCCGATTCAATAACGTTATTTTATGTCCTCGGTCCAACAAACCATGAATAGGCTTTGACAATATGATGATCGTTTTTTAAATGGATTCTTAAACAGTAATCAAATAAAAAGGTATGTTAATAATATTTTTTATTTGTTAAAAATTAATTTTTGAAATTCGTATATTAAAATAATTTAAAAATAAAAAATATATTAATTTAAAATAAAAAAAATAATTTTTTTAAAAAATATTTTTAAAATACAGTGCAAAATACGCGCACAAAGCAATCTCATAATATTTAAGGACTAATAAATTTTAAATCTTTAAAAACTATCATCATAACGTGTACTGCCACTCCCTTATTATACTGTGTGTGCTGCAGTTGAATGACAAGGTTTTGCGAGCAAGAAAACTTACACGCTCACGGTATCTCCTGCCTCTTCGCTGTAGATTCCATTTTACGGGAATTTGTGCAACTGAAGAATTTCAATCCAAAATATACGGCCCAAACCCAATCCCAGACGGAGATATATTCATCATACCTGAACCGGGGTTAACCCGGTCAAAAAGCTGAGCCTCGAGTTATATAAATTTATCATGATTAACTTAAATTATACTAAAAAAATTAATTTTTTTAAATTGTAATATTTCATAAAAAAATTATGTAAATATAAGTAATAAATAATAAAATTCAAAAAATTATTTTAAATTTTTTTTATTTCATTTTAAAAAATATGATATTAACATATTATTTTTTTAAGTTGAAATATTTAATTTAAATATTTTTTTTATTCCAAGTTAGAAAAACATAATTTTTTTATTATAAATTTAAAATATATATTAAAAGATTTCAAATTTCACATTAATTTTTTTTTAAAAAAATATAAAGGTTATATATACTAAAGAGTTTTAAATTCAATATTAAAAAAAATATATTTTTTAATATTTATATAATAAATTTTAAAAAATTAATAACCAATTAAAAATTATAAAGAGAGAGATCTCTAATATATATATATATATATATATATATATATATATATAAAATAG